ATTTTATTAATTGTTCTAATTATTTGTAAACATCATCACTAATCTTATTATTGATAACACAATCGTTATCCCTAATTCACTTTACTTATACCCCTATCGTTTTCTGTTTATCCTATTCTCTCAATCCGATAGCGTTGATTTTTACTCTATTTTGTATTGATGGAACTATAATTTCGGATTATTTCTGTATACAAATAGAAGACCTGTTAAAAGGGATAAAGAAATGCGTAACATAGTTGGCATACATAATTAAATGCCAACAGCATCTGGTGCTCCCATGCGGTCACCCATCCAAGTACTGACCAGACCCAACGTTGCTTTGTAGTGGGCCGCCTTTATTCATTTTAAAAATCACTTTAAACATATTGAAATTATTATTATAACAAGAATTTTAATGTATATTTTGCAAATCTTGAGACCAAAAACTTAGTTTCGCGGGCCGAGGTTGTAGCCGCTGTTATCAACATCGGCATGGCGTACCCGCTGGCATCAGCATCACGTGTATAACATCTGTAGCCACTGCCATCAGCATCGGCATGGCGTAGCTGCTGGTTTCAGCATCACGCGTACATCATCCCCTCTAGGACTTGGTTGACGGTTTCTTCATGGGTTGCGATAAGGATAATGCCATGGCCGTGTTCCTCCATGTGTTTGTATGTGCTGAGTTAGGCCTTGTCCCTAGTGTTGACGTATAAATGAAGGAAGGGCGTCTCACGAAAGGGGGGCCATCACAGGTTATAGAACAGTTTGAGAGTGAATACTGGCTCGACAACACGTACATAAGGACCGATCTGTGGACTTCTGTTAAAGGCCTTGACTGTTCCCGCTATGCGTATGTATCATACACATTCATGTATAGATATACATTAGTGTCAGTGTATGTTGTTGCTTACCTAAAGCAGTAGGGTATAATGACATTCTCAGCAAACAGTAAAATGTATGTATGTATTATAACTACTGATATGATCTTGTTAGTGAATCTAAGTCGAATTGTAACAGCAATTATGATTATTATTGCATGATTGATATTGTATTGATTATGTATTGATTACAGGTTTGACCGCATTCAAATAAATTGAGAAGCGAGTACGACGCAGTGGTATCAGTCACCTCGAGTTAACGCAAATAATCTAAGCGCGTGAAATGGCGCTTATAGTCAAACGCAGAGGGAGATCGTTGCTGTTACTTTGCCGTGACGATAAAGAGACGGACGGAAGGAGCGATCTGCGGTAAGTCTACGGAAGTGCACGGTGTTTGACGGGCGATTATTATGTGACAGAAACATCATAGCTGTGTACGAGTGTACGAATCGAACATATGATCAAGCTAATTTGTGATTAGTTTTTGGTGAAAAGTAACAAAATTTTGAGGGACGCAGAGGGAGATCATTGCTGTTACGTTGCCGTGACGATAAAGAGACGGGCGGAAGGAGCGAACTGCGCTAAGTCTACGGAAGTGACACGGTGTTTGACGGGCGATTATTGTGAGGCAAAAATATTATGGCTGTGAACGAGTGCACGGATCGAACATATGACCAAGCCTATTTATGATTAGTTTTCGGAGAAAAGTAACAAAGATTTGAGGATGGCCATTTATGATTAGCGAACCCGGGAAACTGTTTCTGCACGCTAAGGGAGTGAAATGCTTGAATTTTATGCAATATGTCATGGAGGAAGTTTCTTGTTAGTGACATTAGCGACCATGGCCCTCGTGCACGCAAGTGCTCGTGTTTAGGAGAAAGGTGAAATAGGTAAACTGAATGAATGAGCGAAAAATAACCTATAAGTCGGAGCTGAATCAAAGAAACGGAGTAGTTGGAAAGAAGCAACACTGGTTTCCCGCCCATTACATGTTATTATTTGGATTTTAAAGGTGATGCAAAAGGTAACTAACTCTGGAGGACATAGCAAGCCTCAAGAATTAATCGGTAATACTTCTCACAGAGACCTTTTGATGAAAACATAAAACTGAAGATGCTAAAATGAAAGAATGTGAAATAATGTGGAAAGAGGAAACGGAGGTATTAGAGTATGAGAGAGAGGCAGTAAATCAAAAATGAAAGGTATGTAGCTCACGCTAGGCTTGGGATGGCAAAGAAAATTAGAAGGGGATTAGGTCCCAAAAGTCGTGAGTTCTTATGATCAAGAGATATCTCAAGTTCCGAGGTTTGAAGGGTTTAGTAATCCTTATGATTCCAGGCGATACGGCTTACGTGACAACGGAACATAAGATGAAAACAAATACCAAGGCCGGAGTATAAATGCCTGTAAATATGGAGACCTTCCAGATATGCCCAATTTGAATTTCATAGCAAAAATGGACTCGTTCGTCAAAGAGATGCAAAAACCCAATATGGATATTGGGCCATTTGATGGTAACTCTCTTGACTTCAATAGATTTATGAGACGGTTTCGAACAAAGGTGCTAAACTACTGCACTTCCTATGATGCACGTTTAAGCTACTTAGAACCATTTACCACAGGGGAAGCAAGAGAAAGAATACAAGAATTTACGAGCATGAATCCAGAAAGGGGGTATGAGGCAGCCTTGAAAGAACTTGAGGATTGTTATGGGAATGATGACGTTATGGCCCGGGCTTAGATCAAGAAGGCTCTGGATTGGCCAGTAATCAAGGGAAATGATGTTGGAGCTCTTGACAAATTTTCCATGTTTCTCGCAGGATGTGAGTGTGATATATTAAGTATGGATTCAGTTAAAACTTTAGGAAGCCCAGATAACATGAGAAAACTTGTTATGGAATTGCCATACAACATGCAAGAAAGGTGGTGTGCAACTGTCTGTGAGAAAGGTGATGCCTCTAAGCCTATAGTATTTTCAGACTTGGCAGAATTCGTTTCAGGGGAAGCCAAGAAAGCCAGGCATCCCATCTATGGTATAGAGTAACTAAACGAGGGTAAAATTAATAACCCTATGATGAGACAAGCATTTGCTACGCAAGTCCAAGAAAGGGAATTTGAGAGAAGTAGTGATGAAGACTACGAAAATGGGTGTCATCAATGTAAGGGAAATCATAGGCTACTTAACTGTAAAAGGTTTAAGGAATTTGAATATGAAAGGAAAGTTGAGCTAATAAGGGAAAAGAAATTGTGCTTCTCATGCTTGAGAACTGGTCGTGGTAATGTTTCAAGAAGGAAATTTGCCTTGGGTGCAGTGAAGAACAACCCACAATAATGCATGTGGAGAGAATGTTTGATGAGGTTAACAAATACACCACCACAGGAGGAAATTGGGAATCTAAGGGCTGAATTCGAGAAATTAAAAATTGAAAAGATGACATTACAAAGGAAGTCTGAGCAACAAGAAGTTCAAAATCCCAAAGAGGTGGTAAACATGAATGCAGAAGCTTGCCATACATTGTCAGAGGGAACAGACAAAATGGCCGCCTTAGCAATCACATCAGGGAAAGTAAAATGGAAGAATAGTCACAAAACCACACAGACACTGGCATTCTTAGATCCGGGTTCAACTACACCTATTTGTTCAGAGAAACTAATGAATGAGCTGGAGTGTAAGGGAAAGGGAATCACATGCAACTTGGAGACCCTTAATGGGAAAAGGAAGGTGAGCTCTACGGTACTGAAGGATCTACAAATTGGTGCCTTGGCAGGAAGCAATTTGGTAGACTTATAAAATGTTCATTCTCAGTACAATATAAATATTTGCAGAGGGTTTATGTCTTCAAGGGAAGGCTTAAAAAAGAGGCCACATTTAAAGGACGTAGAGATTCCACAATCCGATGGAGAAGTGAATCCGTTGATCGGAAACAATAACCTATAAGCATATAGACCATTAAAAATTGTATCAGGAAAGGAATACTGCCCAGTTGCTGCCTAAACAAGAATAGGTTGGGTAATATGGGGTCTACTGAAGTGACAGGGAGCGGATCTTGTAACATCTTACAAAACTGGTACGGCAGAACTTAGTAAGAATGAAGAACGAAAAGGGCTCGACCATTTGGTAAGAGAACTAATCAACATGGAGTTCCCAGAACTGATAATAGATGATAAAGGGGAAAATTCATTAAAGGATAAGTTGTTTTTAAGTAAAGTTCAAGATTCAATGAAACTTGTGGATGGCAACTACGAGATGGAGTTACCATTCTATGACGAAGAGGTGAAGATTCCAAATAATCAGAATTATGCAAAATTAAGACTGCAGCATCTTGAAAACAGGTTCAGCAAAATCCAAGGATTTGCTTAAGAATATGCAGCTTTTATGGCAAAATTAAATGACAATGGATACGTTGAACAAGGGCCTGAATCAGAGATAAGCAGAAATGACGGAAAGGTATGGTATATTCCTCACCATGGAGTATACCACCCAAGAACAGCGAAGTTGAGAGTGGTCTTTGATTGCTCAGCTAAGTACTTAGATGGCTCATTGAATGATCATTTACTTCACAGTCCAAATCTAGCTACCAAGCTTCACAACATGTTACTCAGATTTAGAAAGGAACCTGTAGCCATCATGGGTGACATTGAGTGTGTTTTATCAAGTTGAAGTTCCTGAGAAGCATAAGGATTTCTTACGTTTCTGTTGGTGGCCAAAGGGTGACTCGAACATAGAACCTAAAGTGTTTAGAATGACTGTACATTGGTTCGGTGCAATATCTAGCCCCGCCTGTGCTAATATGGCTTTGAGACAAGTCGTAATAGACAGTCAGGGGCTTTGGGATGATGAGGTAATGAATTGTATTAGTGAATACTTCTATGTTGATGATTGCTTGAAATCTGTACCAACGTCAAAAGGAGCTATTGATATGATCATGGATTTAAAAGATTTATGCAAAAGGGGAAAATTTAATCTAAGAAACTGCATCAGTAACAGCAAGGATGTACTGGAATCAATTCCAGTAGAAGATTGCATACATCAAATGGACACATTAGGTCTAGATATACAGACAGGGTTCCACGTGATGGAATTTGGAGGAGCCTCAGACTGAAAGGAGAGCCAGAGTATATTGTCATGTGCATACTGTTATGAGTATATTGTTAGAGGGTTGGAGAGAAAAGTTAGAGGATAGAGGATGCAGGATCAGCAGACTGAAGACGGAATGCATGAAATGCCACTTCGGAGAGGAGGATGAGCAGGAGGTGGATTTGGAAATAGACCTAGAGGTACTCAGAGAGAATGATATCTTCACGTACCTAGGGTCTATGGTGCAACATGATGGAGGGGTGGAAGCAGAGATTACAAATATGATACAAAGTGGATGGAGGAATTGGAGGAAGTGTGCTGGAGTAATGACGGATAAGAGAATGAGCATGAGGCTAAAGAGAAGGATCTACACTAGTGTAATAAGACCCGCACTCACCTAGGGAGCAGAGACCTGGGCAAACACCAAGAGAGAAAGGAGCGCCTGGATGTGAACGAAATGAGAATGCTGCGATGGACTCGCGGGGTGACAATAAGGGACAGGGTGTCTAACCGCCACTTTAGAATCTCTACACGTCACTGAGGTGGCCAGGAAGATAAAGAGAGGAGATTAGTTTTGGTTTGGACATGTCGAGCAAAGAGAGGAGGAGCACTGCCTGAAGCGTGTGTCAGCAGGAAGAGGGGTCCCCGGAAGAAGAGGGGTGGGAGGACCAAGGATGAGATGGAAGGATTGTGTGAGCTGGGATATGAGGGAAGCAGGATTGAACAGAGAGATGGTCCAGGATAGAAACAACTAAAGGCGTCAATTGAGGGACTATTTCAGCGACCCCGTATAGTCGGGAAAAGCTTGTAGAAGAACATCTAGATATGCAGAATTTGCCCACAGAGGGGGCTCTTGGACTCGTGTGGTCGGTCACCACAGATAGCTTCGAGTTCAAAAGAAATATAAGAGATAGAGAGGAAAATGGAAGAGGAACGCTGTCAATGGTTGGTTCCTAGTGCGACCCCTTGTACAGAAGGGGACTGATGTGGATGGGCCCATGCCTGATGGGGAATCAAAGGAGTATGGGAAATGGATAAAACCATAGATTCCCTGGAGAATACTAAGGTTCCAGGATGCTCAAGGAAAGTGCAAGCTGAAGGTGCTTATGTACAATTACATTGTTCGCTGATGCAAGCTATAGTGGGTATGGCGTTGCTATATATGTAAGACTCCAATACTCAGAGCATCGATTGTGCTCATGTGGTAAGGAAAATGGCGGGTCCTCATGCATTGAGGAAAATAACGGGTCCTCATGTGATGAGGAAAATAACGGGTCCTCAGGTAGTGAGGAAAATAACAGGTCCTCATGTGATGAGGAAAATAACGGGTCCTCATGCATTGAGGAAAATAACGGGTCCTCAGGTAGTGAGGAAAATAACGGGTCCTCATGTGAGGAGGAAAATAACGGGTCCTCATGTGATGAGGAAAATCACGGGTCCTCATGTGATGAGGAAAATAACGGGTCCTCATGTGATGAGGAAAATAACGGGTCCTCATGTGATGAGGAAAATAACGGGTCCTCATGTGATGAGGAAAATAACAGGTCCTCATGTGATGAGGAAAATAACGGGTCCTCATGTGATGAGGAAAATAACGGGTCCTCATGTGATGAGGAAAATAACGGGTCCTCATGTGATGAGGAAAATAACGGGTCCTCATGTGATGAGGAAAATAACGGGTCCTCATGCATTGAGGAAAATAACGGGTCCTCATGCATTGAGGAAAATAACGGGTCCTCAGGTAGTGAGGAATATAACGGGTCCTCAGGTAGTGAGGAAAATAACGGGTCCTCATGTGATGAGGAAAATAACGGGTCCTCATGCATTGAGGAAAATAACAGGTCCTCATGCATTGAGGAAAATAACGGGTCCTCATGCATTGAGGAAAATAACGGGTCCTCATGTGATGAGGAAAATAACGGGTCCTCAGGTAGTGAGGAAAATAACGGGTCCTCAGGTAGTGAGGAAAATAACGGGTCCTTATGTGATGAGGAAAATGACTGGTCCTCATGGGATGAGGAAATTAACAGGTCTTCATGTGGTGGGGAAAATAACGGGTCCTCGTGTGATGAGGAAAATAATGGGTCTAATTAATGATCAAAAAGTTTCTGCTAATATTTGAGCACTCCAGAGAAATCTGTGTTCATGCATGTCCTGCCCGTGCTCGTAATAGAGTCTCTGTTCCGTTTTTCTGCCGTATCCTTGCTGTTGCAGATCCCGAGAACATGATGCGATGCAGAGTTCCTGCCAGATTACTTCCCTGATGACTTCCCTGTGTGATGGGATGACGTCATGGAAAGATGTGTCCTGACTTGTCATCATAACTGATGTCTACGCCACTGCCTGGAAATCACTGCCTCCTTGGCTGACATTCATCGGTAGCAAAGGATCCTGTCTTAATAGTTGACATTCTGGTGCATAGTGATTTGTTTGATGACTGATACGTGAGGGTGCTTAATGAGTGGAGCCATGTTGCATCGGCATCCTAGTGAAACCTTTGGAAAAACTGTAGATGAAAACTTCGACGAGAACCTTCAGATAATCATTCAGCAAAAACACATACACATTTGCAGTACAGAAACGATCGTTACCAAGTGTAAGGCATAATGTTTTTAGTCGCTGTCTTTGCCTGAGTGATTGCTTGTATCCCGATCCTGGTATATATATGGTAGAACCTACAACGCCATAACACACATTGTATTGCTGAGTCCTGGAGAGGTTTTTAATCTCGGCGGCCAAAAGTTCTGGGAGGAGTTCAATTTTTGTATACAAGAGGTTGCATTCTCTCCCTGTGACTGGGGCGTGGAGTTTTTTCCCTTGTCCGGCAGCAATACAGATGAGGATCATTATAACTGATCGTTAATTCGTGGGAGATCTGATGTTCGGTTTGCCCCTGTTGTTACTGATATAGAAACCATGAAGACAAGGCAAAGGGATATGAGAAAATATAGGATTCAAGCTCTGCTGTGCATCTGTGGTAACAATGCTCTGTCTAACTCATTTCGGAAGTGATGTATATGAGGAATATAGAAGAGCTTCTCGGGGGTGGCGGTCTATGCCAAAACCTGGACTATACCGTTCCCAGCGCCGGGCAAGAGTTTTGTGTTGTTTGAGACACTCCGTGCTCAATCAATGGGGGGAGTGTAGCCGCTGTTATCAACATCGGCATGGCGTACCCGCTGGCATCAGCATCACGTGTATAACGTCTGTAGCCACTGCCATCAGCATCGGCATGGCGTAGCTGCTGGTTTCAGCATCACGCGTACATCATCCCCTCTAGGACTTGGTTGACGGTTTCTTCATGGGTTGCGATAAGGATAATGCCATGGCCGTGTTCCTCCATGTGTTTGTATGTGCTGAGTTAGGCCTTGTCCCTAGTGTTGACGTATAAATGAAGGAAGGGCGTCTCACGAAAGGGGGGCCATCACAGGTTATAGAACAGTTTGAGAGTGAATACTGGCTCGACAACACGTACATAAGGACCGATCTGTGGACTTCTGTTAAAGGCCTTGACTGTTCCCGCTATGCGTATGTATCATACACATTCATGTATAGATATACATTAGTGTCAGTGTATGTTGTTGCTTACCTAAAGCAGTAGGGTATAATGACATTCTCAGCAAACAGTAAAATGTATGTATGTATTATAACTACTGATATGATCTTGTTAGTGAATCTAAGTCGAATTGTAACAGCAATTATGATTATTATTGCATGATTGATATTGTATTGATTATGTATTGATTACAGGTTTGACCGCATTCAAATAAATTGAGAAGCGAGTACGACGCAGTGGTATCAGTCACCTCGAGTTAACGCAAATAATCTAAGCGCGTGAAATGGCGCTTACAAAGGTGACAATGGAAAGTTCCCGGCCCTTCAAGCAAGGCGGTCCGAGGTCCCGGCCAGATCAAGTGCTGGACGGTTGTGGTGCACAGAATAACGTGGTCTCGGCAATATCAGCTAAGTGATTAAGTCATACTATACGCGAGAGAAGGTGTTCTCATTTTAGTGTCTGTGTTTTACCGTGTTTTATGTCCGTTTTGTTTCTGTGTTTTAGTGTTTGTTTTACTGTCATATTTCGTTTTATGTTCTGTTTTTAGATTTTTACAAAATAAATAGATAATTTTATTATCATTTTATTATCAAGTTAAACAAGGCCAACAATCAAAAACCCTAAGGTATAGATGAAGCATCTGTACACGCCTCTCCTCGGGACAATAACCACGCCTACCTCACTTCGGCTCATTTGCACAACTACACTTTACACATACACACACTTCTGTCGCTCCTTTTCACAGTTCTTCTGACACTGCATCCCTTTTTACATCATACACTCGTTCCCGAACGTATCATTCGGGTGGTGGCAGTGACCCCTTTACACTTCTAATGAGCCTGGGAACGTTGATGATAATGAACACAACAGCTTAACTTCGCTGATCGGACGAGAAGCGGTGCTTTCAACGTGGTATGATCGTTGGCAAATGTAATTATAATATTAACCTGATTTCTGTAAGAGCTTACATTTTTTCCCCCCCCCCCCCCGAATCCCTTGCCCGTTGTTGTCGTGGGGGGCTTAGGAGGCGGAGACTGGGACCCAATGATGGGGAACTCCCAACCTTGGGACTCAGCCCTCGACTAATTTTGCATGGTCTTTTTTCCCTTCCCACTTTTCGTTTCTGTCCCTTCACCAAACCCTTCTGCTATCCACCTCCTAAGGTGTGAGAGCCGTGCTGAAAGGATGAAAGGCTGACTCTGTGCCAGTCCTGAACGGCCTGAGGGAGCCATGGGCACGGTATTCCCCTGATTTAGTTACCTAGCCCTTACCCTTCAAGGGGACCCTAAGGGGTGGACTGTTTTTATCCCCAACATAATACAGGCTTACCATGGCCAATAATGAAAACATATCCCCACTATTAGGGGCAATGAGGCTTGCCCCTTTATCCAATAGCCCCAACGATGTAAACCCGCCCGATTCCCTTACCCCAGGCTCTCCTTTGACCACGGCTCCGAACACTGCAACAACTACCCCCTCATCAATGCCTACTAGTACAGTAGCCAACAATCAACCCCCAAGAGACATTTCCACTCTCCCAACATGCTCAATTTCAACACCTCTACCCCCACAACCTCCAACATCAACTACCCCATCCTCTCTTATTAATACCTTACAGCCTTACTGCCCACCTCTCCATAACACTACCTCCCTCAACACTACTCCATCTTCGTCACGCCCCAGCCCTTCTACTACCCCTATCTCTACAACAATCTTGAATACTCTATTTAGCGCAGTCAAATGGGACCGATTTTTCGTGATCCCTCCCACAGCTCCCTACTCTGACAACACCCTTCTCTTCCAACAAAGTCTCCAAAAACAAGTAGGTAAAGTCTCTTTCCGTAGCCGACCCGACCGCTCCCGTCTGGTCACAGTAACATCCGAAAACCAAGCTATAGCATTAACAAAACTAACTGACCTATATGGTAACCCCATCCTTGCAGAACCCATCCAACCCTCAATACTTGCACCGGAACAGTTTCAATCTCCCCAGCAAATTGCCCAATCTATGACAAAGATTGGTCAGATTGTGGAGAAGACCTACTCGCCTGTCTCACAGACTATGATGCAACATCAGTACAATGCTACTCCATTCCTCCCAGAGGTCATCGAAAGAAACCCAATAACATAGCCAAAATTACCTTCCGTAGACATGACCTTCCCTTTAACGTTTCATAGGCGGAGAATCCCTCCCTGTTCGTCCATACCAACCTCCACGTCAGTGCCAAAATTGTTGGCGTCTAGGACACCCAGCTAAACATTGCCGTTCCACAGCCAGATGCCCACTATGTGCCCAACCTGGCCATACCCGATCTAACTGCTCTGCACAATCATGCACATGTGCCAACTGTGGCGGCCCCCATAATGTATTTTATAGGGGCTGTCCCACCTACAAAGTTGAGTCTGAGGTAGCAACTCTCAGATTCAAACTTGGACTCACACTACGTGAAGCCAGACAGGAAGCTCGTCGACGTGGTTTCTCTCTTACTCCTTACTCCAGTAATACTGCTCATTCTACCACTTCTCCTAAACCCACCCCTCCTACATCTAACTCCCCCCTCTTCTACCTCCTACCTTCCCCAGTCAAACTCTTTTGCCATCCTAAATCCAGACACTCCAATCTCTACTACAGACACTCCAATCACCACTACAACCCCAACACTTTCCCCCCTCCCTCCTCGCACTACCCGTAGCAGACAGAACAAATGTTCCACCCCCTGTTCCCCTACCACACAATCACCTCTTCCTTCCTTTGCCCCTACTCTTGAGTCACCAGTCCTCTCTTCCCCCCCTCACAAGAAATCCTTCATCCCCCAAAACTCCCCAACCAACTCCTCAGAGGAAACTATTGAAAATATTCAAGATTACTTAATGAAAACAGACACTCAACCTCCAAATCGTACAACTCCTGCTCCTTCCACACTCCAAGTGACTACCGATATCCATCCTCCTAATGATATCCCCCCTACACCCCATCCCCCTACCCCCTCCCAACACAGCCCATCCCCTCTGACTCCAACCCCGCCCACATTAACCCTCCCACCATCCCCTCTATCCCTTCCACTCCCTCCTGGATACACACGTGAATCCCTTATGTCACAAGTATCCCTTCCTCAGACCCTCCATCTCCTAATACCCTTCCTGATAGAACACCAACTCCCACACCCCTCCCATCTCAGACCTCTCAGTCCTTATCCCACCCTCTAGCTGCTTCCCCCTCAAATTCTCCAACGCGTACTTCAATCTATATCACTAAAGTATAACTATTTTTCACTGTAATATTCGCGGTTTCCGCTCTCACAGACCCGACCATCGCCATATCCTTTCCTCTTATAACCCATCCAGTGTATGCCTTCAAGAAACCTTTCTTACACATCCACCAATTCCAGTCCCTAATTATCATTTTGTCTCTTCCCCACACTCCCTTTATGTCTCGTCAATACTTATTAATCAGAAAACATCTTATGTCACACCTCCCTTTCAAACCAATATCCCTTGCCACAGTTATTCGTATCTTTCTTCATCGTTGGATCACAGTGATCTCAGTCTACTTCTCCCCTTCCCACCCCATTGACTTTGTTGCTTTGAGATCTAATTTTCCCATTCTTCAA